CTCTTTCTCTTCAAACTAGAGTGTGCTTTTTTTTTTCTTGGCTTTAATATGCTTTGTAATTGTTTTCTTGATAGCCAGAGATGATGGATTGGGTAGAAGGAACTGCTGTAAATAGGCTGTCAGTAATGGGATGATGAGGGGTGTGTGTGTGAAACATTCTGTAGCCCTGTGATTAGGTCTCAGTCTTTCAGGGAGCCCGTGCCTCTGGACTGTGAACTTTACAAGTGTTTTTCAGTTTGTTTCTCCCCTCTTAGCTGGGACAGGACGGCTAGAATAGGCTAGATTAGGAATTTCCCTTCTCTCACGTGACAGGCTAGAGCTGGCAGGAGTTGGGTATTTTTCTTCTCTTAGGTCAGGTGGGCTCTGATAAAACCCCAACAGGTTAGGGGCCTACCCTGGTTACTAGTTTCTTCTGAGGGTCGAGCTTGTTAAGAACAGAATGTTCTGGTGTATTTCAAAATGGTTCTTTATCCGTTTCTTCCCACCTCATACCTCACCCCAACCCCCAGAAAAATGAGGAGTTTTTTCCCTCCAATAATTTCCAGTCAAACTCCTGGAGGTGAGACTCACAACTGTGTGGGCACGCACCCCTATGCCTGGGTCCCCTGGAAATTTTCACTCTCAGACTTGTCCACATGTAGCCCCCAGTGATTTGTCAATTTCAGTTCAGGTTTCCTCTCCTTGGTACTGGTTTCTGTGGCAATTTCTGCTCTGGTAAGTTGTGATTCTCTGTACCTACCCATTTCTCCCCAATTTGGGAAGCTGTGGTTTGCCCAGTGGTCTTTACTTCTCTTAAGGATGTAAGAAGTTTTGTTGATTTTCCAGTTTATTCAGCTTTTTACTTGCTGTTAGGACAGAGTGGCACCTTCCAGGCTCCGTAAGTTGAACCCACCACATTTTAATTGACTTCCTTGTACTACCTTTGCAGGCACAGAGGTGTACAGGAGTGAGGCATGCGGAGAGGGGAGGGCTTCAGCCATTCGGCATAGACAGCCAATTGAGAGTTTGAATTAGGATCATGGGAGAATAAAGTCAATGATAGTGATGATCCTTATTGTCATAAATCTCAAGAAGAGAGGAAGGATCCCCAGATGGCAGAGTAACAGAGCCTATAGCAGGGATGGGGGGACAGGGCCGTTTTCACTCAAAAGTACTTAAATTTAAACCTTTGACGTTACTTTCAAAGGAGGCTTTATATATTAATTATAGTCACAGAGATCTACCAACAGAATTGAAAAGTCTTCCTCATATAATTTAATACTTTAACCATTTCTCAACCACATTCTTTAAAGAGTACAGGGAATTTAATCATTTCTATAAATCTTGTAATTATCTTGTGAATAACACAATTACATTGCTCTGTATTTTTGATGCCCCCAAAGCTATTAATTACATTTAAAGTGTACCATAATTGTTATCAACTATGTTTTGCATTTTTCTTCTAAAAATGTTAAGTAGTTTAGTCCTCTCCCGATCTCTGAGAGCTCCTGGGCTTGGGACACAGAATTTGTGATTTAGAGGGAGATAAATAGATACCAGGAAGGAAGACAAGACAGAGACCAGAGTCAGGTTTGCTATGGCAACATAGAGAACAATGGAAGGCTGGACCAGACAGTGGGCAGGGGGGTGACCCACCACATGGTCACTGGCTAGGATTGGGCTGCTCCCTGAAGCAGCCCCTCCCTGCAAGACCCAGGTTCTTGGAGGAATGCCTGAGTTCTCAGGTATCCTACCTCCTTACATCATCCAGTGGTTCTGCCTGTGGGTAGGAAATATAATTGCTGCACAATTAGTCCATGAATTATTGAGAACTGACTGGTGTGAAATAATGAGGAGGGATGCCCTCTGGGTTAGGAAATACATTTAATCATGGAAGACTGACATTCAAGTAAAACTAAATCATGAGGTTGTCATTTCCAGGGCCTACATCAACCTAGAGCTGTATCTGATTGCTTAAAACAAGCTGTAAGAAGAACACGCCATATGAGGAGAAATTTCTGTCAGCTCACAGCTAATATGGATACTGGGAAATTATAAACAAACAAAGCAAATGGTGGACAGAACCATGCAGGGCGCATCATTCATAACATCTGTCTTTCTTCAAAGTAGCCCACCTCATGCTAGTGAGAATTAGTCATCTTGGGAAGAAAAGTATTACTCCTCCTGTCCCCACTGTGTACTCGGGGGTGGATCCCTCTTTCAGTGACTTGCGTGGCCCATTCTTTCTTCAGACCCATGCCCACTTGTCCCTTGTACAGCTGACATGTTGTACAGCTGCATCTTCCCTCTCTCTGATCCTGGTGTGTCACTGGCTCTCGCAGTCACCACTCCATAGCCATCTACAGAAGGGCAAGAGGCTTCCACATTAACACAGGCCACTTCTCTTTCACTCCCAGTGCATTGCTCTTGGGAGTTGCTCGCTGGCACCCCATTCGGGACATCTGTGCGTGCTGCCCCTTTTGGCTTCTGTGTCTGTTTTTAGCTTGCTCATCTGGCTCCCTGCTCTAGGCCCAGCAGGACTTCTCCAGCCAAGCTGACATCTCCCCCAATAGCACCTGGCTCCTATGAGGTATATAAATAGATTCACTGAATAGGCCAAAAGGTGTTTTTTTTTTCCGTTTTGATACTTTTAAATAATTTTCTTCAGAGCAGTCTAGTCATAGCTCATCTGTAGTCATCTTTTCTTTTTTTTTTTTTAAATAATTCATTAATTCAACAAACATCTACTGAAAGCTTTCTATGCTCAAGTATTGCACCTGGCCCTGGAGATAAAAAGCTCTCTCCTTTCTTCCCCCTTTCCTCTCAACTTTTCTTCCCTTCTTTCCTCCTTTCATAAACATATAGTCAGTATTTTGCTAAATTTCTGGTGATACAAAGGTGAATAACATGTAGTCCCAGCCTTCAAAAGCTTTTCATCTAGCTAGCAACAAAAAAGTAAATGTACAATTAAATTACAAACAGGTGTGGTAAGTGCCATGCCTGGGGTTTGCATAGGGTTTTAGGAGAATGTGTGTGTGCTTGAGCGTAAATGTGTGTGTCTCTGTGTGTGCACATGTTTGTGCGTGTATTCCTTTGTGTGGTGGGGGTGGGGCCTTAGCCTGGGAAGGGTCAGGAAAGCTTCCAAAGGAAGTGACCCTGGAGCTGAGGTCCAAAGAAGTAGGATTTGTCTGGGGGTAGAGGTTTTGGATTTGCCAAACACAGTGAACATCTCATGCAAATATCCTGAGGCAAAAACCCCCTGGTGTGTGTGGAGAACTGCAAGTGGTTTGAAGTATGTTGTGCTGTGGGGTAGCAAGGGATGAGTCCGGAAATGCCCTCAGGGCCGGTTTGGGAAGAGTCTTGTGCATGGGACTAGGAATCATACAAAGGGTGCAAAGACATTGAAGAATTTGATGTAAGGGAGTACCATAATTAGTTTTGCATTAGCGATAATGTAGATTATGGAATTGCAGGCCACTGGGCAAGTCCCCAGGCCTAGAGTCCAGTCAGGAGGCAGTGGCAATAATAGTGGTATCAGCCAAGAAAACAGGGTCCCTGCCTTCCAAACACTCACAGTCCGGAGCTCATGATAAATCATTTACCATAATAGAGTGAGGTCAATATTAACAGAGGCAGGTGTACAGGATGACAGATCTCTGATGTTCCTGGCCTGTATGATTTTTTTTTTTTTTTACCTTGGGACTCCTTGAGAAGATTTTATTTTATTTTATTTTTTTTGTTTATTATTCCAGGGTTTTGTGAGGGTACAAACATTGTAGTTACACTTTATGTCTTTGCCTCACCCAAATGCGGGTTAAAGGCATGCCCTTCCCTCCCTTTAGTGCTCCCCGTGTCCTTTAGTTGTAGATTTGCCCCCCCATCCCCCTAATCCCTAGAGAGTATTTCTGCCATGTGATCAACCTAGTGTTGATCAGTTAGTACCAATTTGATGGTGAGTACAAATGGATCCCGTTCTTCTGCTCTTGTGGTGCCCCACTTTGGATAATGGGCTTAAGTTTAATCCAGGAAAGTATAAGAGGTGCTAGATCACTGTCGTTTCTTATGATTAATATTCCATTATAAACATATACCAAATTTTGATAATCTACTCATGGATTGACGGGCACTTGGGTTGTTTCCACATTCTTGCAATAGTGAATTGTGCTGCCATAAACATTCGGGTGCAATGATTAATTATTTATGTATTTCATATATAATAAAACCATAGAAAAACTTCTATACATTTTTTATAGAAAGCAAGAGAAGGATGAATGAAGATGGAATTTAGGACGATGCTCACTTGGGTGGGGAAAAGCATGAGCATGAAAGGGAGGGACCCTAGGGCTAGATGAAGTTATTGTCAAGGTTCTAGACTTTGTTTTGGGTGGCGGGTTTGGGAGCTTGTTACATTATTCAAAGTAACTAAGTAAGGAAATAAGTGATAAATGTAAGATGGCCGTGCATGGATCGTTGATGGGAAGGTGCCGTGAACTGAGGAGTATGGTTTATCCAATCCAGTGCCCTGAGCTCCAAAAAGAGACAAGGTCAAAGCAGGCAGACAGAGGACAATAATGGCAAGGAGCTGGGGTGGAAAGGGGGAGAGAGCAGGAAACCTGCCAGTGGGATGGGAGAAGAGAAGACCCTGGAGAACAGGGCCTGGGACCAGGGAGGGAGAGCAGGGAAAAGGTGGGACCAGGCTGGGGGCTGGGACGAAGGCTCGATGGCCTGTGTTCAGCCAGTAGGATATAGTCGTTTTGTTGTTGGAATTGTTTGTGAAATTCCTTCCTCTTGGAGAGAAATTGAGCCAGATTGCTACACTGTAACCCAAGGGGAGCCTCTGCCCAGAGTGACAAAGGATCTCAATCAGTGTCAATTTTCCACTATTAACAAGAACTGGAAAAACAACTCAGGCCCTTCCCCGGTAAGTACATCAAACTGAAAACGAAGCTCCTGCCTACCAATTTTCTTGTTCCCGTCCGCCCCAGCAGCCGAGTCAGAGCTACACACCATGGCATACTCACAGCTTTACGATGTCTGGTCCAAACAAGTAAACCACTAAATCGCAGGTGGTCTTCAAGAACAGTTTTTCTAAGAAAAATAAAGAGGGCAAATAGAATATATCTTTATTATGACAAATTTAACACATGAGTTAACAATAATTATCTTTATTAGGAACTGAAGCTGAATGATTAATTTGTGATTAATTCAAGTATTTTACTTTAAGGATATGAGGGAAATATTACATTTAATGTATCCATTAAATATCATTTCTATTTTAGGTTTTTGTGAATGCCACTTTACTGTATGCTAAAGATAACCAGTTTATTATCAAAACACAGTTATATTTTTGGTTTTTGTTGTCTTTTTTTAACAGCAGGGAATATCTGAATGTTGGCTAAGATCTCATTTGTTGAAGCCGAAACAAACAGGACTTACATGAAAGTAAATAATTTGAAATGTAGCTCTGTTAGAAATATTCTTCTCTGGTGTTCAGTTGGGGGAGAAGACTTCACTTGGACTACTTAGTTTTTGTTGTTGTTACCCCAGAGATAAAAGATCAGCTGTTACAGGTGTTCCTGCGCTGCCATCTTCACCAAAGAACACAGATACACACAACACACACATACAATCACTGATGAAATAATCTCCCCTCACCCCTTATGAGAAAGTAAGAACATTTTGTGGGTTGATCCATCACACAATCAAACCTGTTAGTTCTCTGATCCTGTTTCTTCAGTTTGTGAGTCTATTGTGGAACCCTGGTAATTTAATTTTGGATCTAAGTATAGTTGCGGACAGATAAGCTGTCCAGGAAAGAGATGGAAAACCCTGTCTGAGGAGAATTTATCTTGTCATGATGCATCTTGAATGGGGACCCAGGCCTGGCGTAGAGGGTGGAGTGGTGAAACAACAGAATAAATATAGCGAACTCTCCCTGGCACTTCAATTTTACTAATGTTCAATAATATTAAATATTATTTTATATTAATATAGATAGGTTCATATGACTGTTTTATAATAAAGCATGAGACTTCAAACACATTGTGCACTTGAAATACGCAATTAAAACTGTATCTCCACATTATTACTGATTGTGCAGGAATATAAAAATTATAAGGGAATACTATGAACAGCCACATAACAATAAATTAGATAATTAAATGAAATGGAAAAATTCCTAGAAATACATGGAATGCCAAAAACTGACTGGGGAATGAATAGACAATTTTAGCAGACATAGAACAAGTAAAAGTATTGAATTAGTAACCAAAAACTTTTCATGAAGAAAAGTCCAGGACAGGATGGCTTCACCGGTAAACTCCCCCAATAAAGAAAACTACAGACCAAAATCTCTTATGAATATAGCCACAAAGATTCTTAACAAAATACAAGAAAATAAAATCTAGCAATATAGAAAAAGTTATACACCATGATCAAACAATATTCATCCCAGTAGTGCAAGATTGGTTTAACATCTGAAAATCACTGAAGTATACCACATCAATAGAATAAAAACAGATACTATATGATCATCCAATACATGTAGAAGATATCTGACAAAAATACAGCACCCTTTAATTATTAAAAACCCCACAAAACAAAAATAAAAAATAAGAATAAAAAGGAATTTCTTTAAACTGATAAAGGTTATCTACAAAACCCCACGACTAACATGATATTTAATGGTGAAAGATTAAACACTTCCCTCCTAAGATCAGGAAAAGACAAGAATATCTGCTCTCACCACTTCTATTCAACATTATACTGGAAGTTCTAGCCAGGAGAAGTAGGCAGGAATAAGAGTAAAAAGCGTCGAGATTGGATAGAAAGAAGTCAGCTATTTTGCAAATGATATGATCTCATATGTGGAAAATCCAAGTAATCCATCAAAAAGCCCTAAGAACCAATAAATGAGCTCATCATGGTTGCAGGATACAAGATCAATACGCAAAATCAATTGTATTTCTATATAGCAGAAATGAGAACTTAAAAAATGAAATTAAGAAAAAACAGTTCCAGGGAGAGTGGGGCAAGAGGGCTGATTTAGAGAAGTTGGTTGCCAGATCGTCTCAGAAAGAAAGAAAAGTTTTAGGTAAAAAAAACATAGCTCAGGTGCAATTCTGGGGGAAAAGTGCCAGAACCTACAAGAGATTCCACAGGAAAAAGTTACGGAGCAGAAGAAGAAGGAGCAAGATTTTGGCAGAGATCAACCCCCTGAAAAACTTGGAGTCCTGTGGAAAGGGTAAGTGGGGTTGTTTCTCCTTCCCTCACACCTCTGGTAGTCAGCAGGTTCCTGAGCTGCTGGAGAGCTTCTCTATCCTCATGAGCCCCAAACCTGCTGCTGCCAGTGAACTGGAAGCTTCTTGAAAACAAAGCACAGGGCTATCAGCCCCCTTGGGGTCGCCTCCTGTCACCACAGACCTGAGCTGAGATGGTAGGCCCCATATTGGTTCTCCACCCATTATATTCCTTTGTCCTCCCAAGGGAGCTTCAGTGCCTCAGTTTTCATGTCACCGGTTCCCACACAAACATTTCTCAACTCCTGCCCAGACTGTGGTAGCCACAGGGGCAGGTGGGTCCTGGGGGATCTGTGTGATCCCAGAGCTTGGACATTCTGGGCAGACTGCCTTCAAGAGAGAGGGACAAAGATGACCAGAGTGCCAGCTCTCTTCTATTCAGACTGTTTTCCTCCCCCATCTCTCCCCGACCCACTACTGCCAAGTGGCGTGGGTTCTTCAAGGGATGACTGAGCCAGGGTCCTCAGGAGTGGCTTCTTCCCCGCTGTTGGTTCATCCACTACACTGAGGCTTCCACAGAGAGTGGGACTCACAACTTTCTTCTTAAAGACCTGCAGCAGTACAAGAGGTGCTGAGACTTTGAGTTCTCTGCCTGACAGCCCTTCCTGGTGCTGCTCATCTGGCTGCTCCAGCAGAGTAGGGCACACTCCAAAGTGGAGAGACATTAAGCCTACTTGAGCACTCCACGGGCAACTCAGGACCAACGTGCTTCTCCCTCACACAGTCAGGGCTTGAACTTGGGGGACCAAGGGACAGCCTTCCAGGCTGGACCTTGTACCCCCAGGGTTCGATTGTGTTGTTGCTCGGGGGCACAGAGGGGAGATCTGTGAACTAATCTTGGGAGATGAGGGAGTCCATGTGGGCAGAACTGAACAGAGAGTGCAGTGTGGGTCCAAGCTGCAGCGCACTTGCAGAGCAAAGGAAAGCCGCACTTTCAGTTTAGGGCAGGATCCTGGGCAGAGAAGCTTCCTTGTGCCAACCTTTGTGAAGTTTGAATGCAGGCTCCTCTGACCCAACCCTGCTCAGCCTTGCTCCTCCATCCTCCTCTGCTATGGTGGAGAATAAGGAGTCCCCTGCGAGCTCCAGGGCCCCTCCCACCAACTGGGGCATTTGAGTGCTTCTACTGACGGACTAGAGCCAGTCACATGTCCCCCAAAACACCATTGCAGCTGATTCTTTCCTGCAAGCACCACCTACTGGCAGGGAGGACAACTTGTGCAGCCCATTACACCATTTGCCAATTCAATCATACAGGGTGTGGCTGACTCTTACCTACAAGCACCATGTACTGTCTCAGAGATTAAACTTGGTATCCCAATATACTTCACACAAGGCTCAGCAAAGAGAAAGGATTTCAAATACCTCCTTCTTTCCTTGTCAACAAGAGATAGGAAATCTGCTCACACAAAGTATACCATTACTATAGCCTTCAAATAATCAGCAATTGAGAAAACCACCACATTAAGGATAACCAAGATTCCATCCAGAACCTAGAATCCCATCAGAGTATCCATAAGGAAAGCCAAAGGTCCATACCCAACATATGCTACAGGCACACCCTTAAGAGAGAGGGGGAAAATAGCCCCATCTAATCAAATGAAGATCCAAAAGCAAGTTACAGCTGCTCCAGATGGGAAAGAATCAGTGTAAGAACTCCAGAAGTATGAAAAATCAGTGAAAGGACACCCCCAAAGGAACACACCAGTTCTCTAGCAATGGATCTCAACCAAAATGAAAAAACTGAAATAATGGATAAAGAATTCCAAATATGGACTGTAAGGAAGCTCAAAGACATCTAAGTGAAAATGGAAAACAAATTCAAAGAAACCAGAAAAATAATTCAGGAAGTGAATGAAAAATTTACTAAAGAGATAGATATATTAAAAAGAATCCAAAATGAACCTCAGGAAATAAAAATTTATTTAGGGAAGTACAAAACACAATGGAAAGTTTTAAGAATAGACTAGAATAAGCACAAGAAAGAATTTCAGAGCCTGAAGACAACTGTCTCAAATTAACCCAGTCAAAAATAAAGAAGAAAGGATCAAGAGGAATGAACAAAGTCTATGAGAAATATAGGATTACACAAAATGACCAAATATAAGAATTACAGGCATCCCTGAGGGTGAAGAAGAAAAAGCAAAAGGCCTGGAAAACCTATTTGAGGGAATAATTGAGGAAAACTTCTCTGGTCTTGTTAGAGATTTAGACATCCAGATACAAGAAGCTCAACGAATACCTGGGAGATTCACTGCAAAAAGAGAATCACCAAGGCATATAATTGTCAGACTGGCCAAAGTCAACATGAAGGAGGAACTCCTATGAGCTGTGAGGCAAAAACATCAAGTAACTTACAAAGGAAAAACCACCAAACTGACAGCAGATTTCTCAAGGGAAACTGTACAAGCCAGAAAGGAATGGGGTTCTATCTTTAGTTTCCTTAAACAGAACCTTGTATCCTGCTAAAATAAGTTTTATAAATGAAGGAAAAATGATGTCTTTCCCAGACATGCAAACACTAAGGGAATTTGTCACCACTAGACCTACCCTACAGGAAATGCTCAAAAGTGCACTGTACATGCAATAACACAATAGATACACACCAGTGTAAAAACACTGAAAAGTTATAGCTAACATCTCTTATAAAACAATAGCACAAGATGGAAAATAAAACAATAAGGTATCATCCAACACGTTGAATGGAACAGCATCCCAGATGTCAATACTAACACTCAACATAAACAGCCCGAATTCTCCACTTAAAAGATATAAACTGGCTGAATGGATGAA